CAGGATGGGTGGTAAGCACTGGAGTTGGATTGCAATCACCTCTCTTGGTGGAAAAGATCGAGAACGGTGGGTCTTCAGTACTGAAGACCTTGGTATCAGCTCCACCAAGCAAAGGCAAGGTGCGTGCAATCGATCACACCAGCACCTTGGGCTGTGCTTTAAGAAGTTCTTTCAAAACAGCTACTAGTAATATAAAACACTTCTGCACGCCACGGAGTGAAAGGATGTCATTGTGCAATTCGTGCGAACCAAGAATGATCCTGCTTTTGAAGGTTCAGAGTCTAAAGTTTAAAGCATGAAGCAAGGAAAGTTTGTTGAATCTTCTCTGAGATTGCCTCAGGTGGCTACGCCTTCCGCGCGGGAGATCAACCCAGGAGCTGGCACGTGCATATTCTACTTCTGAGTGAGCCAGGCGGAGGACTTCCCCACTGGGCCATGGAAATGGGCATCTACTATGGCATTCTAGAGCCTTGGACTTCCCGGTCGCTCCTTGATGTGTCCTTTTATTCTTTTCTGGCTTGTCTCGCATGGATGCTCATGGTGCAGAATCCATCCGAACGAAACTCACCAAAAAACGATCCTTCACCACTGCACACCGATGCCTTTTGACTTCGTTGGTTGTTCCCCCAAAACATAGTCGGTCTCATCGTTCGTTCGCAGAACTCTGAGGATTGGTTTGTGGCAGCCAAGAAGTTTTTGGCCGAAAAAGTCGGAAGCGTCATGAAAGTCGGAAGCGTCGTGTGCTTTCTTCTAGCCGCGTGGGGTTTCGGTCCCGGTTTCACGGGACATGTGAAATGCCATTCGACCACATTCCTTGAAAGCAGGTGGTCTTCTTTGTGGCATTTTGTGGCTCATGCTCTGACTTTTCTTGCAGGCTTTCAACCCTCTGCAGACAAGCCAAGCTGTTTTTTTCCAGCACTATTTCCGACAATTCGACAAACCCAACTTTGGAAAGTCTTCACGCTTTCGTGCAGTTTGAGTACCGTGTGGGCCGCCTGTGGGGCCATTCTCTCAGAAAGTATGCTGCGATATGCTGCGGCTTTTTGTTTTTTTGGGATCTCCAAGATTGGGACCGTTAAGATCTTCCGAAACATTGTGCCCCAACGGGATCCTTGAGTCTGGCTCTATCTCACCATCCTTTGTCCAGACCCAAACTGGATGTAATGTAGTGTGGGCATTTGTTTGAAGTGTGAATCCTCTGAAGTTGTTGTAGCAAGTGCTTGGGGCCAGCAGTTTTGTCTTGCATTCATTCCAGCCATGAACATGCCATTGTTTGATCCCCTGATGAGGCCGACAGGCATCATCTTTGCTTGCAAGCTGCATAGGAGGCGTGCTTCCGCCTTATTTGCATTGTGAATTTGCTTTTGCAGCAACTGCAGCAAATCGTTGTTTCTTCTCGAGGCATAGCGAAGGGTTCTCGTTTAACTCTGGGGGTCTGGGGTAGAGTCTTGTTCGCGACTCGTTGTCGTAGCGTTCGCAACCGTCCACAACCGTTCGCAACCGTACGCGGTAGACCTCTATGGTGCTGACATTGGGGGCGAAGCTTTTGGAGAAGGTGTTGGCGTTTGACATAGCAAGGAAACGTGTGGAAGATTGTGGAAGCTTAACATGTTATGTTGAAGTGTGGAGGATGATTTCACTGCGCAGGTGCAGCGTTTTGTGAGATCCGCAGTTATTGAGATTGGCTTTTAGGGGTGGTGTCTTTGGGGTGGAGGATGTGTCTGTGACATTGGGCCGGGATTTGCGTTTCAGGCTGCTCCGAAGCTGTGCTTTCGTGACAAGTCTCAGATCAGATGGCGCATTTGGTTCATGGGAGTGTGCTCAGAACGTGTCAAAATCATTCCAAACGTGTGGTGGGGTGCAACTTTTGCTGAGGACATGAACATGATTGAACATGTGTGATATCCTCACTTTCCATGGCAGTCGCCGGGAATCGTGAGGAATTGATACTTGGTGGAGATGAATGTCGCTGTGACACTGAGATTGGTGTGTCAGCGGTCGTGGTTTTGAGGGGCTGGCGGGACACTCTTGTGGGGCACCCTGGGAAAGTCTCGTGGGGCACTGTTGTGGGATACTCTGGTGGTGCACTCTTGACTCTTGCCTCCCCCAAATGGTCACCAAAACGAGCGTTTCGTACGACAAGAGTGTCACATGAGAGTGTCCGACAAGAGTCCCACAGTCCAATAAAAGGCACCCAATATATTGGCCGACAAGAGTGGTCTATCAGAGTGTCTCAGAAGAGTGTCCTGCAAGAGTGTCGCGCAAGAGCGAGTGTCGTAATTGCAAGAGTTACATTTCATTACACACAAGAGTGCGCCACAAAAAAGTGTCCCAGAAGAGTGGCCTACAAGAGTGTCCCAGAAGAGTGTCCCGCAAAGGTGTCCCGCAAGAGTGTCCCACAAGAGTGTACCACCAGAGTTTTCCGCAAGAGTGTCCCACAAGAGTGGCCGACAAGGGCGTGCCACAAGAGTCCACAAGAGCGCCCTATAAGTTTCCTACAAGAGTGTTGCGCAAGAGTGTCCCGCAAAACAATAACCTGACAACAGTGTCGACAAGGGTGTCCAGAAGAGTGTCCCAGACTGTCGCGCGTGACCTCAGAACTGGCCCCAACAAATGTAACGCTTGGTAGTACACATGTAGTATATGGGAAGCAGCTTCTGGGAGCTGGCCGGTTTGTAGCAGCACCACAGATGTAGTACGGGTAGTTTCTCGGAGCTGTGGCCTCAGAACTGGCCACTTGGTAGTACGAATGTCGTGCGGGAATCGGCTTCTGTAGTACTGGAAGCGGCTTCTGGGAGCTGTGGCCGCGCCATGCAGTTTTGCGGGGGAATGGTTGGCGGTGTCCACTTCGCTTGGTGTTACAGTGTTACATGGTTGTATCCACACCGTGTGCCGACATGACGTGTGTGATGTCGCTGTGCCATGTGGTTGTGCGCGACCTCGGTAGAAAGTCCGTTTGTGTGAGTCCGCGCGATTGGGGAAGGACATCATGCTGCAAATTCGTCGTGTCGCTGGGGAGCGGCACGATTGGAGGTGTCCATGATGCTTGGTGTTACATTGTTGTATCTGGTCTGTGGCGCACCGTGTGGCCAAATTGCTATTTGTGACGTCGCTGTGCCACGCGGTTTTGCCCCGCCTGGGTGGACAGTGCACGTGCTGAGTGTCGCGCAAGAGTCGCCCACGAGAGTTTTCCACAAGAGTGAGTGAGTGTCCCATAAAATCTCCAGCAAGGTCCTACAAGAATCTCCCTCAAAAGTGTCTTACAAGAGTACGACAGAAGAGTAGAGTAAGAGTGGCCACGAAGGAGTGGGGCACTCTCATGGGACATTCTTGTGGGGCAGTTTTGTGGACTTGGGAGTGTTCTACAAGACTGTCCCACAAGAGCACTGCATTACAAGAGTGTCCCACAAGAATGTCAAGCAATGTTTGGCCGTTTGTTTTCGAGTGCGTGTTTGCATTCGGGTTCGCATGGTTCCATTTTGTTTTATGTTCTCCCCCTCTCTTTGCACCTTTCTTTCTTGATTTGGATGTGGCTCTTTCTTCGTCTTAATGTTGTTTGAACTCTCTTCAGGGCTACAGGGATCTCAGCCGGTTTCGTTTTCTTGTCTGGTCTTGGGATGCTCTTTAAGTAAGATAAGTAAGTAAAGTCAGTGTTCCCAGAAGTGGGCAATGTCAGATCTGTTCGCTTTGGCCACTTCCAAGCCAGGTGACCGAAACCTTTGGCTGGTGGTCAGGCGCTCATTTCACGGTCAAGACCTTTTTTTGGAAAACGTAGCTGACATAGCGGCATAGCGTGACATAGTTCCTTTTGAAAAAGACACATCACCATAAGTTGATTGGAAATGGACCCTGTCATTGCTAGCTGGCATTTGGGGCTCTGACTTCTGCCATGACGGCAGCAACCCGGTTCTTGCTCGGTGACTGCCCCACGCTGACCCATGAAGCCCGCGTGAGTCTTCTAGCAACCGAAAATTCCCTGTGTGGCGGGAATTTTGTCGTTCGCAAGAGAATGTGGTGCACCCAGCATCGAATGTGCCATAGACCTTGCATGTTGCGAGAGTGGTACAGACAAACTGGTGACCCACGTTTTCAGGAAAGAGCCGAACACTGTGGCGGACGATGCGGTGCGTGGGACCTGGTCTCATACCCGGTGCGCCGGCGCTGGTGCTGTGAGCTGGCCGCGCGCGTGCTGGTGCCGGTGACCGGAGCAGAGCTATGGGAGGGACATTGGTTCATTGCCAATTCAGAAGTGGACAGAAGCAGACTCGGCCTGCACCATTCTCAATGTCCATTGAGAGACGACAGGAACATCATGGACACACATATTCAAGTGACTTGTACGTCCTTTGCGTTCGACACCAGGAAGAGAACATGGCTCAAGAATTGCAATGCAAGACTGCTCCAGATGGAGGAAAGCAAAGAAAAGAGCGCCAAGACCTTATTCAAGATGGCGCTAGAGGTGGAGTGTATGATGCGTGTAGTCGCTGACAAGTGTTGGACCCCATCAGCTTGCCGGGCGGAGCAATCAGTGGACCCCTGGTTGATCCAACCAAAAAACAGTCGTCTGTCCGAGGCAAGGAAAAGCAGCGGGGACTGTTGAAGCAGTACGAGACCTCCTGAAGGAGTTGCAAATGTTGCTGGAGTTTTTTGCGGCGGCGGCCATACTAGGCGGGCTCTTTGCAGACAAGCAGCCTTCCAGAAGGACTCTTGGCACACTGCCTGTGAATGTGCCTGTCAAAGCGCTGGATCTCACACAGCCAAAGGATGCAGATGCAGATGCAGAAGCTGCAGGGAAGGAGGAACACGACCCCCCTAGAGTTCTTCAGACCCTCGTTGCAGTCAATTTGTCAAGCTTTGTGAAGTGATATAATATATAACTTGAATGGCAGATCCCTTTTGTAAACTTTTGTTAGTTGTTTCAAGCGTACACTCCACAAGTCGAGCAGAACCTGGATCAATTTATAAATCCAATTCCTGTCCGTTTCGCATCACTTCAAAGGATGGTGTACCATCTTGAGCCGGCTGCAGATATTCCCGAAGACGAAGCTCAGATGATTGTTGACATTCAACATGCAGATTTTGTGCAGCGCAATCTTGGTGCTGCTCCATTGCAAGCTGAACTGAATGATGAGGCAGAGCTGGAGCCTCGCAATGAGCTTGTTCCAGAAGACATTTTCAAGGGCCGCGCGCCTTTGATGCATCAAGTCAAGTGCTCACTGTTTTCCAAGCTGTTGCTTGAAGCACGTTGCGACAGATTTGGAGCCTTGTCATCACCTGGTACCAAATAGCACCTGAGGACTCACTGAACTCGGGTCATCACAAGGTATGAGTCTTCCTCAAGCCCGCGTAAACTGATCTATACAAGCGTGATTCATTTATGTTTATGTCACTTCCATGTGGTTACTGGCTTCCCAATAAACAGTTTTCCGCACATGTTGAGGTCAACAGGATGAGCAAAGACACCTCTCGCCATTTTCTTGAAGGAGCGGCTCTGCGACCTTGCCGCGATGCGCTGAGTCGCGCCGGCTATGAGGTGGAGATTCAGGGCGGCTGCTTGGTTTTCGTCCATCCGCATCAGTATGAAGATGTGCTCAGGGCCCTTCAGACTTTCACGTTGACCCGTGCAGACATCGTTTTTGCGGCCTCCTTCGAGTACTTGGTGGAGCAAACCTTGAGTCTCGCCGTTGACGTGGGGTGCCAGGGATCTTGGATGAAGTCCAGAGATCAGCTTCCGATGGAGATTGAGACGGATGGAGAGCAAAAGGAAGAATCAGTGGAAGTTGATGGTGTCCTGGAAATTGACAGGACATTCTATCGATGGCGGCCAGCAACAGCGGCTGCTTCTAACCCGAAACCCTTGACTTTTTAATCCAGGGACCTGCTTGTCGGCAGTGTAGAAACAAGAATTCATCCAGCGCACCAAGGAAGACCAACAAGAGTTGACAAGTTGCCAGAATATGAAGATAATGACAATGATTAAAACAAATAAGCATCCTCAAAACTTCAGGAATCCATGGTGGATCCAACGTCCTTGCACCGTGCTAGACACTATTCTAGTTCTGTTTGTCAACTTCGAAGCGCATTCTGAGTGTATGTATAGACATGGAGCCGCCTTCAAAGACATCACAAATGCCAGTGAAATTGGGCATCCAATGAGTGTGGTGTCATGTTATGATCAAAGACCAGCATGCCACACGGCGAAGCAAGCTGCAAGTCCGAGTAGTGTTGGTTCTGATCTGTGGGAGAGCTGATCGGTGAAGCACTCTGCAAACTGATGAGTCCTCCAAAACATGGCCACATTGTACAGATTTTTGGCTCGTGGATGCCCCGATGACTGGGACAAAAATGTGTTCATAGGTGTGCATGACTGGGTTGGTCCTTGTTTTTGCTTTGCGTTTCCAAGTCGTTCTTGACAACGACATGCAATCTTCCTGACAAGCTCCTTGGGCAGCTCATGATTTTTGACAACCACCTTGAACGCGAGCTGAGGTACAGGAGATGATTGTTACTGTTACAAGGCTGGTGCGGAGCTTGTGACTTTAACTTGTCATACTTTTCGCTTTCGGACAAGTTCTTGCAGCAGGTTCGTCCAGTTCGTCCAGTTCCTTTCGTCCAGAATGTCCCGGCTGAATCGTTGACGTCCACAACAGGCTGGCTGTTTTGAACTGGTTTGACTTTGGCAGACGAGGGGGGTTTCTCTTCCTTTGTTTTCCTAGGTCGGCCAACCTTTCCTCAAAAGAAGTCCTGTTTAACCCTGCAGGTTTGCCTCGAGTTTTCTTAATGGGTTTATCAAAGATCATGACTGAAACGGAATTCAATTTGATTTCGTGTCTCCTCATTCAACAAGGACGGAGGTCTATGACCCTTGTCGAGACCAAACGGAATGCTGGCACCAATATGGGATTTCATGTCCGATGGAACCTGAAGTGGGGCGAGGCCACCAAACAAAACTGTGCGAGGTCACCGATGAGATTCGCTGCGGACTCTGGACGACAACTTCAACTCCTCCTGCTGCTCTGCTGGGAGAGTTTTCTGGGGTTTTCAAGGTGAGTTGACAGCCGGATGAAAACACCTCTGTTGAGACTTTGGGACTTTGAGACTTGCACCTCTTTGGTATCAAAGTCCCAACGCATTCAGCATCATACGGCTATTTTTGGAAGCCGGATCTTTGATACTTTTGGTGTGTTTCTTCTGAAGGTGTGCTGAGGCTACTCGAGCGCAAGGGCGCAAGGGTGTTGGTCTTGTGACTTCCAACTCACCACACATGTTTTGGGCCCTCTAGGAGGTTCTACATCAAATAAATGACTTTGAGGATCCGGCTGTGCAGCCAGGGATGCTTCCAACGGAAGCTTGGGCCTGTCTGCGTGCGACAGGTGTTTTTTTTTCCTGCCTTCGAGGCAATTCACCCATTTTCTGCAGGGGCGATGTGCGCTCGGTTTGTACTACCTAAGATGGTATGTCGATCATCATTTTTGGAGGTTGGAGATAAGTTGAACAGTTGGGAATGTTGGGAGGCCCACTTAGTTGCAAAGTAACTGGATTGATGAATCTACAAGGATCCATGAGGCACATCTGCTACGCACCAGAATGACCGATTTACCCTTCAAATTGGAGTACAGTGGTTGAGGAAATATGAGTTGTGCGAAGGGGCCCTCCAGCTTTGATTCAATTGGACATGCCTTTTTGGCATGGTTGGTATGGTGGGTGCGATCCACTTCGTCCTTTGTCTCCATCTATGTCTCCTTTGTGGCTTTCTTTTTATTATCTAAACATTTTCTACTGACCCTTCTTAGGGATACCAAGCATTGCCACAGTGTTCTCCACTCATCTAGATGTTGGGTGTTCTTGCTCATCTTGCTCCGTCATTTGATGATTCTTTCGCCTCCCTGGTCCACAGGATGCCATAGCACGAGGTTTTCACCTGGCATTTGGGAGAAATGGTAATAGCTGCTCCGGATTGTGACTACAATGTCATATACATGACAAAAAGACACTGAACACCGCGCATAGCATAGCAAAACAAACAACAAAACAATGGATGTCACTGAATTGCAAATGACAAAGCGACGACAAAATCATGACAACAAAAAACACAAATGATAGACTTAACACAAACATGACAAGGAACGCCACGAAAAATAACAGAGAAAACAACAAACAATCGATGCCACCAAATGCCCAATGACAAAAACACAATTGACAAACACATGCCCAAATAGATATGTCCAAGGTGTCCAATCTGTGGCTGCGTGTGTTTCTTCTAACCTGTAGTCTGGATGCGTTTACAGTAGCCCTTAGTTGGAAGAACAATTTAGGCCTCTCGAAAACAGGCTTTGCAAAGGCTTTACAAAGACACAACATCGGCATGGCCGAGCATTTTCCTTGTCTTTTTGGCCATCACGTCGCTCGATGCACTTTCTCTGCCACCTGAATAAAACTTGCCCAATCACATCCAATCGCATCCAATAGTCAAAAGTTCCATCCAGCCCACTTCTGATTGGAACGATTGCCAAAACTCACTGGTGCTCCTTTGTTGCTCATGTCAGGTGGTTCTTCTAATGTCGTTTCTGTTCGCCACGTGCTTTGCTTTACTTGGTCTGCCAAGTTCGGTACACATCTTGCCAACTGACATGCAGTTTGATGATGTTTGATGGATCCGGTCAAAGGTTTGATGGATCCGGCTGGCGGCTATGACCGTGACCGACACACAGGTCCACAGGTCGGCCCGGTATACCACTGCCCGTTTCGCTTTTGCTCAGCTGTTTGGCAGGTCTGTGGGTCGGGTAGGTCATCGTGATTGATGTTACTTTGGCGGTTTTTCTAGCCTGTTCATGTGGTGGTGGATACTTGTTCTTGTCCTTGTTCGTTTCATTCTCTATAACTCTGGTTCTTGGACGATTCCTGTTAAGAATGGGCTGCTTCGTCTTCGGGCGGAATTCGTTTTCACGGAATCTGCTTGTAAGATGTGGTTTCATCCGTCCGCGTGGACACAGTTTTGCCCACACCGCGGGGACATGCAGAGCGCCACTCGTCACCAATGGCCACTATCATTACCAAGAGCGCCGCCACAAGAACAAGAACCAGAACCACTCCACCAGCATAATGTCAATACAATGTCCAATGCCAGCACACGACACTCTAAGACACCAAAGCGTACGCATTGGCATCACATTCCCTGCAGTATGCTAGTGTCCCCTCAGCCCCTGTCCCAGAAATGGGTTTCAGCCAGCGGTAACAACCATACCTCAACTCGGTTGCACCAACAATTATGAACAAGATATGAAACCTGAAAAGGCAAACAATCTCCAGTATACGCAGACAAATGCCAAATTGCAAGATAGCAGTGGGGGTCACCATGGTTTTCAGGTTCCTTTGGTGTTCAGTTCAGCAGCAGCGGCTGTTGATGTGATGTTGCCGAGTGCTCAGGCTTCGCATCCTACGCGGTGCCGGTCTTGGAGTTCGGAGAGTTTTGGGTAGCTGGTGATGGAAGGAAGCGATGATCCATGTACAAGAGCATGGAGACACCCAACAAAGGCCATTCTTATTTGATGGGCACAGATGCTTATTGTAACACCCAGGATGACTGTATTTCCGTCACTATGCGCATCAGTTAGCATCCATTCTGGATGGTAACTGGCATCATGTAGCACTCCTTTATGCAGAGCTCTTCAAGCTGTACTTTGGCGCTCTCATTGGCACGAAGCCCAATTGGTCCCAGCCGAGATGGCATGGTTACTTTGTGCAACTTTGATGGCTCCTATGATGATGGGTTTGAGCAGTTGTCAGCTTTCTCAACTTCCAAGAGAGGAAGCTTCCTTCGTCAGAGGTTTTACCCGACGGATTCAAGACTTGTCAGCAACGACTTGACTTGTGCATCGACCTGCCCAAGTTGCCCAAGTCCAGGTGGGACCTTTTTGTGTTGAGATGAATGGAAAAGACTGGGCCTTCGAACATATCAAGGCTGAAACAAATGCTATGTAGGCAAAGATGAGAGTTAGCCGACCATGCGTAGAATTAGTGGTGGTCATCGCGAACAGACCATGCAAAGCAGTTGACGAGATCACATCCATTTCTTGACTGTTTTATCTTCCCTTCCTTTTGCATTTTTTTGCCGTAGCTGGACAAAAACAACCTGCTTGTGCGATGAATCTATCTCTCCAACATCCTTGTGTATCTTGTGCGTATCTTCGCCTCCAAATCGGCAGAACATGGCAATCCGGCCGCTGCGGCACTGAGCTTCGGCCGCTGCGGCACCGGGCCACCTGAGTGAGCTCTCGATCGAGGTCGCGGTGAAAAAGCGTCAGGGGGTCGTTTGGTTTGGTGTGGCGTATGTGGATCTCTTGAGGTCTTAATGGCGATCTCATGAAGTTCTGAAAAGTTCCAAGCTTCATGATAGCTTGCCAAATGTATTAGGGTGCTATAGTTCATGTCATTGTCCTTCATTTCATCTCCACTGACGAGCTGCATGCTGCGTCAATTCGTTCAATTGGAAGCTATATGATTGTGACTTTCTAGATCGGTGCGTCTTGCTTTGTCGTTTGCACCACCAGAAAGCAATTCTGATGGCCTCTCCACAGTCCTCTCCACATGGTCCTATGATGGTCCTGTGGTATGACTGCAGAGAAGACATGGAGCGTGGAACCTTCTCACTTTGCCGACCTCACCGGTGCTGCTTGGGCTCGAGCTCTTCACCGCGTCTCGCGGCGTCGGTGGAGTCAGTGGGCGAAGTGGTCCACCCAGGCGTGGTGTTTGGGGCGCGGCGAGATCACCGGTTTCCCCAAGGAACGTTGTTCGGTTGCATCTGAGGAAACAGAGTTCACAGTGGCTCGTGACATTCTCGCAGAGTCTAACTGGTTGACCTGTAAAGTCTTGCTTCAAGTGAAAGCATGGAATGATGCTGCCCATCTGCGTGAGGTATACAATGAAGTTTGTCCTTGTCCTCCTCTTCTCTGCTGCCCTGGGCTTGAAACTGTCTGAACATGAACTTCCAGATTGCACCGGCACCAAGGACCTTCTTCTACTGCAGTTTTTTAGGTGTCCAAAATGGATCTTGCTCAAGAGAGTTCAACGGTCGCCGAGCTAGTCAGTCAGCGCGAGGAGTTGGCCAAAAAGAACGGTGATCAATGGAGGTGCGACGAGTTCAGTGGCCAGAACGAGGCATGTGGCAGCCGCTACCAGGAGCACAACGGTGCCTGGCTGAGTTCATGCGGTCCGAACATGAAAACAGTTTGAGTGCTAAGCCGCATAAGGTGCGGTTGACTACGTGTTTTCGATCCGAAAGCTTGGAATGGGAGTTCATGATGTTGCACCTGTTTTTTTCTTCCTGAACACGAACGAACAAGAATGACCGACCCGAATTCCTGACCATCCACGCAGGTGCGACGTTCCAGTGTGTGGTTCGTCCAGCTGGGTCAGGACGAATGATGAATTTCATTGAATTTCCTAAAACGCCTTTCTCTTCTCTTTGTTCCTAGTAGCGAACCTTGTTACTACTAGTAAGGCACTTGTTACTAGAAGCGATGCACTTGTTCCTACTAGCTTTCTTTGCTCCTAGTATTTCGGGCAGTTCATCAGCGTTTCTGAGGAGTGACCAATTGCCTCACAGGGCACCGCTGCAAAGTGCCAGAGGTGCCAGATGACGACATCGACAAACGCATGAGAAGGCAATCATATGAGAGCAAACATACATATTGTTGATGTCGTTCGAGTTCGTAAGAGGCTGGATTCCTTTTGGAGGGTCAAACCATCAAAAGCACTCCTCTGGTGGAAGAAGCCGTCGCCCTTCGGGCTTACGGCGCCGCGTCCAAGTCGTCGGGAATTCAAGGAAGGGAAGAAACGTAAAGTCCAAAAAGTAAAGTTACAAAAAAGGCCTGCTACTAGGAGCTCCTGGCCTTACTACTAGGAACAAGGACGCTACGTTCGGGGCTCCTGGCATCGCTACGAACGGAGCGATCGAACGCTACGAACGGGGCTCCTGGCATCGCTACTGCTCATCGCTTCTCAAGGTTTGGAATCGATTTGCCCGCCACAAATCACTTGCAGTTCCATTAACACAACAAGGAGGAACATGTTGACAGCATTTGTTGGACCAAGTCAAGAACAATCATAGTCAGAGCCTTAAGCTCAGCAGCCCTTCACTCCACCTCAGAGGGCGTTTGGTCCTATGGACAAGTTTGGCAGTTAACATTTCAGGAGAGCAGTCCTTTTTGCGCGTAGTTGGGCAGAAGGATCTTTGGGGCATGATATTTGCTTGATGACACCGAAGCTTGCAGGGCCTACCCTTCAAGTCCAGAAACTGCCTGAGCAAGATGCTGCTGATGTCGGTATAATTATACTCTTTGTATTTCTAAGTCATGTGAACTTGAATCCTCAACCATCCTAGCCTGCCTGGGTTGGTGAACTGGTGAACTGTTTATTTATATCTAGTCGACAATTAATTGATGCTCGAGCCGGTCAGGTGTGCCCTGCCAAGCAGCTGGAGTCTCTAGGCAATGGGTTTTGCAGCAGCGGCCAGCCACTCAGGATGCTGAGTTTGTTGGTATGAGGTGACCCAACACGGTGATAGTGCCGATTGAACGGATGTTGGCCATGGTTGGCCAGCTGACGTTCTGACATCTGGGTTTCACATGCCTGGATGATATTCTTTGATTATTTTTCCCGAAAGCATTGCGAAGGGTTCTTCCGGAAAATCCTTTGAACACTGACACTTCGACACTTACACTTCGACACTTACACTTACACACACACACACTGGAAGAGCGAAAGCATCCAAGTGCAAAGTATGCAAATGTCAAAGTATGCAAGTCTAATGATGAGCATGCAAGCATGCAATGAGTATGCAAGCATGCAATGAGTATGCAAGTGTGATGAGTGAACATGGAAAACTAGCATGGAAAACTAGCACGGGAGATGTCCTAATGAAAAACATTTCCCCACTTTATAAATTCTCTCTTAAAGGCGGAGGGTGGGACGAACAGCGTCAACCGAAAGTGCAACCCTCTGCGGAGATCGTGCGTGTCGAGTGCGCGAACTGCAGGCGAGAGCGCGATTCGTCCGGTGTGCGCGCAACCCTCTGCGGAGATCGTGCGTTGCAGGCGAGAGTGCGATTGAGTCTGTGCGCGCGCAACCCTCTGCGGAGATCGTGCGTGTCGAGTGCGCGAAATGCAGGCGAGAGGTGTACTTTGTAGTATAACTTTAGTACGCGGAGTATCTGGGGAGCTGGAAGCTGAGAACTGGCGACTTTGTAGTACAACTTTAGTACGCGGAGTGTCTGGGGAGCTGGAAGATGAGAACTGGTGACTTTGTAGTGCAACTTTAGTACGCGGACTAGCTGGGGAGCTGGAAGATGAGAACTGGCGACTTTGTAGTGCAACTTGAGTACGCGGAGTATCTGCGAAGCTGGAAGATGAGAACTGGCGACTTGGTAGTACAACTTTAGCACGCGGAGCAATTTGTGGAGCTGGAAGCTGAGAACTGGCGACTTTGTAGTACAACTTTAGTACGCGGAGTAGCTGGGGAGCTGGAAGCTGAGAACTGGCGACTTTCTAGTACAACTGTAGTACGCGGAGCAATCTGTGGAGCTGGAAGCTGAGAACTGGCGACTTTGTAGTACAACTTTAGTACGCGGAGTAGTTGGGGAGCTGGAAGATGAGAACTGGCGACTTGGTAGTGCAACTTTAGTACGCGGAGTAGCTGGGGAGTGGGAAGATGAGAACTGGTGACTTTGTAGTACAACTTTAGTACGCGGAGCAATCTGTGGAGCTGGAAGCTGAGAACTGGCGAGTTTCTAGTACAACTTTAGTACGCGGAGCAATCTGTGGAGCTGGAAGCTGAGAACTGGCGACTTTGCATTACACTTTAGTACGCAGAGTATCTGTCTGGGAAGCTGGAAGATGAGAACTGGCGACTTGGTAGTACAACTTTAGTGCGCGAAGTATCTGGAGAGCTGGAAGATGAGAACTGGCGACTTGGTAGTACAACTTTAGTACGCGGAGTATCTGGGGAGCTGGAA